CTGGGGCCCCGGCTGCACCTTGACCTTCACTCAAGCTGAAATGGCTTCATCGCGGTGCTTTCCTTTTCCCCAACTCTCTTCCAGTCTGGGTAACGTGGCTGCTTTGGCCTTTCCTCCCCTCTGGTTCTAACCACGCGTCTTCCAAAGCTGAAGAACCCTTAGCAAAGAGCCAACCCACCTTCCTCAATCAAGGTCAGCTCAGTCAAGGTCAGTGCTCATTATTACCATCACCATCATTATCAACATCATTATTAACATTTGATTATCAACTACTGGCAAGGCCGGGGCAGTGAGGCACCAGCTGCTATGCTGTTCCCCCGTGTGGAGCTATTAGAGCAGGCCTGCCACTCTGTCCCTTGCTAGACACCACAGGCCTCCCTGCTGCAGGCCACCAACAGCCAGGCACAGGAAAAAAATAAACGAGTTGATGCTGGCCTCAAGCTGAGTCATAAAGGCTCAGACTGGAGTCTGACGCAAGGCGCGGCGGCTTTGTGAGCAACGGCTCAGACAGAGGCAGGAGGAAAATCGCTCCCTGCCCCTCTCGCAGACAGAGCCCCCGATAGTGATCTTCAGAGCCCGGGTGAGCCTCAGCCTGACATTTTATTGCTGATTTTTAAAAACTGCCCATCGTTGCCAATCCTCTGTTTTATGTCTTTTAATTGTTTTAAAATTGCATGCTCTGTGCCCTGAGGTGATTTCAGCACCAGGGGCAGCACTTTATAAAATAAATAGATTATGAGCTGTATCTGCTTCCCTACAGGGCACAGATGGAGCAAGTGGGGTGGGGGCGGGGAGCCACAGAGGGAAGACTCTGAGGGTTTGGGGGGGCGGCGTGCAGGCCCTCACTCCTGCCAGGACCCTGTTTCCCCTGTTCCCCCTACAATATCACTCTGAGCTTCCAAGCACCACCAGGAGCCGAAAAATTGGAAGCGAGGCAGTTGCCTGGGTCGGGTCATTTGGAAACATCTGTGGACTTCACTGCTGCCCAAGCCAGCCAAAAAGATGGAGCACCCGAAGGGACTGTGCCCTGTGTGGAGTTTTAGAGACACATGTCCCTTAATCAGAAAGGGAAAAGTACAATTAAAAGAAAAATCTAGAACCACATCTTCCCAGATCCAACTGAAAGGCCAAAAGGCCAGCCAGGAGTTGTCTACACTGTCTATGTATACATTGCTAATGGGACAGCTCACAAATTCTTCCAAGAAATCAAAGAGGAGGAAGTACTTCCAACCTCTTTTTATGAGGCCAGTGTTACCCTGATACGAAAGCCAGACAAGGACATCACAAGAAAAGAAAATTACAGGCCAATATCCTTGATGAACATATAGATGCAAACATCTTCCACAAAATACTAGCAAACCAACCCAACGACACATTAAAAGAATCATTCACCATGATCAAGTGAGATTTATCCCTGGGATACAAGAATAGTTCAACATACACAAATCAAAAACTGTGGTACATGATATTAACAGAACAAAGGATACAAATCATATGATCATCTCAATAGATGCAGAAAAAAATTAATAAAATTCAACATCCTTCATGATAAAAACTCTCAAAAATTAGGTATAGAAGTGTTAGGTAGACAGCAAGCAACAACTGGTTTAGGGACAGAAAAACAAGAGGTAATAGAATAATAGGAGCAGAAAAACAAGGAAGAGGAAACAGTTAAAGAAAAACAATAAGAAGGAAATAGTCACAGAAAAATAACCAGGGGAAACAGTTATTTCAGTCTCAAATAATGGGTTAATTAGACCAGAGAACAGTGACCACAAATCAGAAGATAGAAAAACACCATAAATGGTAACTTTCCCCCATCACACGTATAGGAGAAAGGAATGTCTGGAACTGGAAAAATCCAGACCCCAAAACCCATGACATATCATAAGTAATTGTAAGTGACCTTTACATGAACACATACTACTAGCATATAAAAAGAGAAACATAGAAGACAGTGTCTTCTCCACTCACAGAGACAGACCCATTTCCCCTTAGGAAATGCGTATTCGCTTTGCACCCTTAAACTTTTCTTACAATAAATTCTTCACTCATACTTGCTGAGTGTCTGTCATCTCTCTCCATCTTGTGGGCCAAGGCTTGTGATTCCTCCAAGTCAGGAGCCCAAGAACTGGGGAAACACTTCAAAGTCCAGCCATGGATGGGACCATGACACCAGCCCCTTTTGGGAACAAAGGCAAGACCTTGAGCAATTGCCACACCTGGGGGAGGAAGGAATATCCTACCAATCTACAGTCAGAATTTAGCACACCAAATGTAAAAGAATGCAGAGGATTCCCTAGCCCAAGGGCCAAGCAGTACAGGTACAATAGGGTCTGGAAGGTGACCTAGAACAACCTAAGGCTTGTTATCATGTCATTAGCTTAAATGTACATTGTGGTTCACGTCTCCCCCAATGGGCTTTCAGAAAGGATCATGGGAAATCCACATGCATAGTAAGAGGTTATATAACTCCAGACTGTCCATCAAAGTGTATCTACGATGATGTTGGAACCACGAGGAGGGCCCAGTCTAGACGCTATAAAACAAGACCCCAGACCATAACCAAGGCCCTTTTGTTACTACAGGGGGTCTGTCCATCATCTGTGGCAAACGTATCTTGCTCTTACTCATGAACCTATATCTTGCTCTTACTCTGTAAACCTATCTTGTCCTTCTTCAATAAACTTCATTTTATGCTTGCCTTGCTTTTGGTGTGTCTGGTCATTCTTAAGCCAAGAGCACACCAAGAACCAAGAACAGACTACAAGCTGACAGAAGGAATATACCTCAACACAATAACGGCCATATATGGTAAACTCACAGCTAACATTATACCTGACAGTGAAAAACTAAAAGCCTTTCCTCTAAGATCTGAAACAAGATAAGAATGCCCTCTCTCATCGTTTCCATTCAACTGTAGGGGAGCAAAAAATCCCTTCCCTCCACCCTGCTAGGTTCCTTGGCTGCACCACAAATTAAATTAACATAAGACAGATCAACAGGAGAAAGACCATATGTATACACACATATGCACAGGGATCCCACACAATATAAGATTCAAAGAAGGGCCGGGTGATTGAGGCTTGTACAGCATCCTGAGCTACTGAGAGGAACAGGGCCTTGGGTATTCTGGGGGGTGGCGGTTGCAGAAGTGCTGGCAGAGTGGGAGGAAATGTGTGGTGTACAAAGGCTTTCTTGTTACGCAGATAAAGTCTCTTGGGTCATAAAAGTTGTCTGGAGCAGTTCTCAGAAGAGGTGAGAGTCTGTCAGGGTTGGTGTCAACCTGCAGTCTCTTCTGTGACTGGGTTGATAAGATTCCCAGGGAGGTGAGTCATGATAACTGAGTTCCTTTTGGAAGATCTGTCTGTCTCTGGGGGATGGGGGGGGGAGGCCCTGGGAGAAAGCCTCTGCCTGCTTAGGCCGCTCCCCAAGGGCCTTCAGTTCAAAGTAATCAGCATAACAAAGCATCGTAGCTTAGGGTGGCATTTCCTGAACTCCTTCCTAATATTGGAAGTCCTTGCCAGAGCAAGTAGGCAAGAAAAAGAAACCAAAGTTATCCAAATAGGAAAGTAAGAAGTGAAATTGTCACTGTTTGCTGTGACATGATCTTATGCGTAGAAAAACCCTAAAGAGTCCACCAAAAAAACTGTTAGAACTAATAAATGAAATACAGGAAAGTAGCAGAATACAAAATCAACACACATATATTAGTAGCATTTCTATACACTAACAATGAACTATTCAAAAAAGAAATCACAAGAACAATCCTATTCACAATAGCTACAGCCTGATTAAAAAGGCCTGGGGGGTTCTTTGGGGTCAGATCTGGATTCCAGTTCCCAGCTGCCACTTCCTCCCTGTGTCACTTAGGGCAAGTGGCTTCACTATTCTGAGTTTAAGTTACTACGTCACACTTAGTTACACGGTGGTGATGGTGATAATACCTTCTTACATGAGTATCGGGAAAAGCAGGAGATGGGTAAAGTGCTTACTTAACCCGATGCCAGGCACATGGCAACAGTAGATATTAGTTATTGTTGTTGTTATTGTGTGTTTAGTGCTGTATTGGGCAGTCAAGGGAGAGTAAAAAAGAGCAGAAATAGTCACTTATCACTGGGGCATATGTTCTCTCAAAGCCCGCCCTGCCTCCTCTCTGACCACCCAAATCTGACTTATCCTCAGCAGCTTCTACGTGCAGTGGAAAGAGCCTGGATTTGTGCCTAGCTCTGTTGATGCCTGGCCTGTGCTTCTGCACATCTCCTAACTTCTCCAAGCCTCAGTTTCCTCCTCTGCAAGATGCAAATCATGATAGAGGCTCTGCTGACTTCATAAGGTTATGGTGAGGCTCGAATGTGAATATCTGTAAATTTCCTCCAAAAGCTATAAAGTACTTACAGAGCAAAAGTCAAACCCAATCTTATAGGCCTCACTCAAGTCCCACCTTCTCCCACTTTTTCTGTGAGAGAAATCCAACTCAAACTGTCTTAAGAGGAAAAAAAAAAGGGGGGGGGGTTACTAGCTCATGCAACTAAAAATCCAGGAGTGAATTCTAGAGGAGTTGGAGCCAGGTTCCCAAAAGGGGGTAATAAAATCTCTGATTTTCTCCTTCTCTCGGTTCTGCTCTCCTTTCTGTCGTCTGCACTGAGGCAAGGATGTCCACGAGCAGCTCTCAGCTTGAAACCTACCAGGTTAGTGACCCAAATAGAAACTGTCCACCTTTCTCTCCATAGTTTTAGCAGAAGTCCCAGAGATGAGTCTCAGTGGCCTCCCTTGGGCCATGTGCCTGTTGGTGGCCCTTCTACCTACTGTACACAGATTTGACTACTGTATTTTCTGGTAGGATGTAGGAACAAGAAGAGAGAGAGCCACACATAAAGTCTCAGACAGCAACCAGACATATCCTTGGTGCTCTGTGGTTGCATCCACACTTTCTATCCTTCCAACACTCAGCCAAGTGATATGGCTCAGGAGGATGAAAGCCTGGACCATGTTGAGAAGGGAGCCCTGCGATGGCTGAGAAACACAACTGAGAATGATAAAGGGAACAAGAACCCTATTTCCTGACTCATTAAAGCAAGAGAGTGCTTAATAAACATAATACTACTTGATGGTAAAGTTCTGACAAGGCCACCCACTTAATAACCACTATTGTGACTCTGATTCCTATTCCACTTAAGAATCTACCTGAGCCCTGGTCTTCAGCTGTGGTTAGTAGAGGTCATGTTGTTGGCTGCCTGAAGCAGGTTCTGTGCACAGGAGGGCAAATACCAACTGGGTGCACCAAGAAACCACAGGTATTTTGATCTAAGTCACAACATTTCAGCCTAATTCCACTTCCCTCCGGGGCCTGACTTCCTCTACCCCTTCGCTACTTCCACCTCCAGTAGCACTTATCTCACGGTTTTGTCATATTTCAAAGGCTTTATTCATGCTTATTTCAGGAAACTTAAATAAGAGTGTACAGAGCCCCCATATCCTACTCTACCTCGTTGCAAGTCCTTATATCCTTTTCTAGGCATATATGTATACTATATGTGAGATTTTTAAGTGGGATCTCACTGTTTCATAACAGTGGAAATACCTCTCAATGCCCATAGATAACCTTCCATGGCATTAATTTTAATAAATTCACATTGTTTTTCTATTGAGTGGATGTACCATAAATTATTTACCCAGTCTTCTATGGTTGGGTGGCTAGATTGTTTACACATGTTACTATTATAGTATTCTGTGGAGTCTTTTAAAAGTAAAATAGATGAATGAGCTTACCGTAGTGTTACAGCCTTACCAGAATCATTGCCTGCCACTCAGGAGGAAGCCAATACACTGAGACAGCAGGGGTTACAGCAGAAAAAGAGTTTAATATCACAGGAGCCATACGGGGAGATGGGAGGAGTTTCTTAAATCCATCACCTGGAGAATTTGGGAGAAAGGGTTTTTAAAGTTAGTGGGCCAAGGACTAAGCAGTTGGCTCTGCTGATTGGCTGGGTTTGGGGCGGAACCTTAGTGGTATAGAAATTGTCTTCTTGTGCTGAGTCAGCTCCTAAGTGGGGGTTACAAGACCAGTTGAGTCAATTCCTTGGTATGGGCCACTGGTCTCAGTGGGTCCTCCAACCACTGGAATGCAGAGCCTGGGAGAGATCTCAAAAACTAGTTTTAGTTTCACAAGGGTGATGTTACCTATGGGAGTAATTAAGAAAGTTAAGCAACTTTATGACCATCAGCTATGTGAGTCCTGAGTAGCAATTATAGGAAAGCAAACTGGGGGACAATGGTTACATATATATTTTAACTATGCCCATACCTTTGCAGAGTTCAGGCCCTACCTCAGTTCCCATCTTGTGGACTTTTATTAATTTTATAAAGGGTGGTTTCAGTAGAGAGATATAATGGCCAAACAGGGTAGGAAAGATGGAGTATAGTACAGAAAACGGAGTGGGAGAGGAAAGAGCTGCTTTCAGAAAAACATTTCTGTGACATCATGTAGACCATACCTGGAATTTAAAAGTTTTTCTGGGCTCTGCTCCCAGCTTCATAGAGTCTTTGCTATTTGAATGACAAAAAACAGCTTTATCCATATGGGTATTGTTGTGATGTAGTGGGGATGGGCAGGTCACTAATTCCTTTAGCTTTAATTGTACATGTTTCAGTTATCTATTACCAGGCAACAAATCACCCCAAAACTTAGTGTTTTGTTTTTTTTTGTTTGGTTGGTTTTTTGAGACAGAGTCTCACTCTGCTGCCCAAGCTAGAGTGCCGTGGCGTCAGCCTAGCTCACAGCAACCTCAAACTCCTGGGCTCAAGCGATCCTTCTGCCTCAGCCTCCTGAGCAGCTGGGACTACAAGCATATGCCACCATGCCCAGTTAATTTTTTCTCTATGTTTTTGTTGTCCAGCTAATTTATTTCTATTTTTAGTAGAGACGAGGTCTTGCTCTTGCTCAGGCTGGTCTTGAACTCCTGACCTCGAGCTATCCTCCCGTTTTGGCCTTCCAGAGTGCTAGGATTACAGATGTGAGCCACCACGCCTGGCTTGGAGACCATTTTTCTAAGTGAAGTATCACAAGAATGGAAAAACAAACACGACATGTACTCAGTATTATATTGGAACTAATAGATCAACACTTGTACACATACGGAAGTAAAACTCAATGGAAATCAAGCAAGTGGGAGGGGAAAGGAGAGGATAGGTAAATTCATACCTAATGGGTACAATGTACATTATCTGGGTGATGGGCACACTTATAACTTTGACTCAAACTGTGAAAAAGCAATTCATATTACCAGAACATCTGTACCCCTATAATATTCTGAAATATAAATAAATAAATAAAAATGGCTTCACTTATGTGTCCTGCATCTCAGCACTTCTTCACATGGCCTATGTGGATAGTGTGGGCTTCCTCAACACACAGAAGTCACAGGGTAACCAGACTTCTTACATGGCAACAGCTGCCAAGTAGGACAAAATTGGAAGCTACTGATGTCTTAGGGCAATGCCTTAGAAGTCACATAGCGTTATTTCCGAAGCATTATGTTTGCTGAAGCCAATGTCAGGGTTAGTCTGGAATCAAAGCAAAAGGAAACAGACCACACCTCTGGATGGGAGGAGAGGCAAAGAATTTGAACACATCTTTAACCTACTATAGAAAATGAAGGACAAAAGGAATGTGGGATTCTTCTATAATAAAGACACATAGAACACTGTGGTGTCACAGCATTCTAAGTTCCAAGTGTGGACTCAACCAGCTACAAGAGAGATTTAAACACATTTATAGTCAACAATTTTGCCCCAGTTCTGAGCAATATACCAAAAGACCATTACAAAGGTGGCATGTGGAAAAATAGGATCCCTGGCAGAAATCGCCACCCAGGAGACAACAGTGACACCCATTGCAACCCACAGCCACCACCTACAGTGCTGGAGAAAGCCCCTGGGACTTCGATGTCTCAGCCCAACCCCTCTCTCTGCCATGGGGCTTCCCTTGGCCCTGGGCTCCAAGGAGGCACCTGCTTCTCCTTTTGGAGGCTTCACGCTCCTTACATACAGTAATTCTTTCCCAATTCTATGTTATATGAGTCTTGAGGTCTTTGCAAGAACATTTCTGCCAAAATATTTGTGACAAATAGTAGTTTGAAAGTGTGCTTCCTTAGACTGTCAAAAGAAAAGGTTTGGCTTGCCCCATGAAAATGGTGCATCTTCCATTTAAGAGTTAATGATATCTTTTCCATAGGGAGACTTTGAAAAAACTAAAATCTGTCCCACATCACTGGGCCCTAGAGGTCTGAGTGAATCATCCCAGATGAAGTGACCCTGGCTGTCCCCACCCCAGTTATTGTGACTGTGCAGGGAGTTTCTTGATCATACGCACTCCTATCTTAGAACCAGATTTATAGTTTCTTACAGGGTTCTCCAGGCACTGAGTATGGCCTAAATTTAATATCTAGTCATTTATTGCCTGATTCTCACTTAATTGCTAAAAGATGCTGTTATTTTATACATAGTTAGCTCCAAACCAAAGCCATTTGAAGGGTAGTATGTAGGCAAAGGAGCCACAAGCTGGGCAGGAGGTTGGATCCACTATAATCTATATACAACTTGAGGCCCATCTGTGGGGTCCACCTTCTCCACACGAATGTACAGATTGGTGTTTTGTTGTTGTTATTTTTGAGACAGGGTCTCCCTCTCTTGCCCTGGCTAGAGTGCCATGGCATCAGCCTAGCTCACAGCAACCTCCAACTCCTGGGCTCAAGCGATCCTCCTGCCTCAGCCTCCAGAGTAGCTGGAACTACAGGCATGCACCACCATGCCCAGCTAATTTTTTCTATATATTTTTAGTTGGCCAATTAATTTCTTTCTATTTATAGTAGAGACGGGGTCTTGCTCTTGCTCTTGCTCAGGCTGTTTTCAAACTTCTGACCTTGAGCAATCCTCCCGCTTCTGCCTCCCAGAGTGCTAGGATTACAGGTGTGAGCCACCACGTTTGGCCCAGACTGGCTTTTAAAAGGGCTTGGACTTAGTGTCTCTATTTCCACTCTAAACTGATCAGATAAGGGCTGACCATCTCTTAAATATTTAAATTTTCTTCCTCACAGCCTAGCCTGAAACCCCGTGCCTATTTGATTTGTATAACTCATGTCTGGTTGGCTTTGGTGAATTGAGGCAAGTATCTTTACAGAACTGAAAACGACTCCACCTTTTCCCTTCTCTAGGCCTCCCTCCAAGTACAAGCCAGTGTTCTAAAAGCTGGGGGTCAACAGATGCCCACTTCCAACGGGGAGGGGGCTCTACCTTGCCCATCCCTCTACCTTGCCCATCCCTTCTCTTGTTCTTGTTCCTAGACCCCTGGGAAGGAATCAAAACGTTATTTCATTCAATTGGAATCATTTATAAATAGCAGAACCACTTTCTGCTTCACTGCAGCTCATGATATTGAGATGAGTGAATTAAAGTGAACGGCTATTAGAGAAAGTAGGGGAGTGAATTTTAATGTAGCATATGGCAAACCTTCCTTCAGAATCTTTTCACAGCATGGCCATTTTGTGGGCTTTGGGACTTGTATACCCGGTTCTTAGACAGGCCTGGCCATATGTAGGCGCAGAGGGTGCTGGGCCTCACACTGTTACCCCACCCCACCTCAACCACTGTTGTGGGAACCTGGAGTTCACAGGTTCTACGTATTGAACTTCATTCTGTGGCCCCCAGAGGAAGAAAGCACCCCCCGCTAGGGAGAGATGTCTGTCCATGATAGAAAAGGCCCCTTCACCAGAGTAGTCAAAAAAAGTCTAGGAAGAAAGAGGTGTGTGTGTGAGAGAGAGACAGACAGACAGACAGAATGAAGAACATGAATTCAGTTCTGTTTCCACATCTAGGCTCACTCTCAGCTCTCTGAGCTGGATCAGCACAGCCTGCTGTGAACACACCATCCTTTCTCTCAGAAACCTGAAAGGAGTCACTACAGGCCTTTGACTGCACCCACTGGTCTGATCACTGTAACAACTGACTTTACCCCAACTTTATGTTTGGCCTCTTGTGACCCCCTGAGGGAGTAGTTGCACCTTACACACACACACACACACACACACCCCTTCCTCACACTGCCCCAGTAAGGCAGCATTCTCCTGCTTTGGGAAGGGAGCTGTGAGGACCTAAGTACAAAACCATCAGAGTGAGGGAAAGAAAAGACTGGAAAGAAAATTCACTGGAAAGGACTGCGAGTCTGCAGATGGGGAACTTTTTATTTTGAAACAATTTCAGACTTACAGAAAAGCACAAAGTACTTTTTACAGAAAAATACAAAAAGGACAGAGAATTCCTGTATACCCTTCACCCCATTTGCTTCTCATTTTCCTTCGCTCTATATACTTTTCTTCTGAGCCATTTAACAATAAGTTGCAGATAAGATCCCTTTTAACCATAAATATTTGAGTATTTCCTGAAAAAAAAAAAAAAGAACATTCCCTTTCATAACCCCAATACATTATCAAAATCAGGAAGTTACTATTGATACACTAGTAGTATCTAAACTACACATTTTTTGGTGTAAAATTTCACCAATTTTCCTAATAAGATTCCTTATGGCAAAGCAGTAAAAAATTTTTTGATCCTAAATTCAATCCAAGCCCATACATTGTCACGTTTCTTTAGGTTCCTTCAATTAGAATAGTTCTTCAGACTTTGTCTTTGATGACATTTTTGAAGAATATAAGCCATTTATTTAATAAACTGTCCCTCCTTGAGTTTATCTGACGTGTCCTCACAATTAAATTCAGGTTATGCAGTTTTGGCAGGAATACCACAGAGGTGACATTGTGTCCTTCCTTGGGGCACACGTCAGGAGATGCGTGACATCCATCTGTCCCATCTATCCTCGTGATGTCAACTCTGATCACCTGTTCAGGTCAGTCTGTCAAGCCTCTTCACTATCAGGTTACTATTTTTCTTTTTGAAATTAATAAGTATTTTGCAAAGACATACTTTGAGGTTGTATAAATACACTGTTTCTCATTAAACTTCCACCCACTACTTTTTTTTTCCTGAAACAGGGTTTCCCTCTGTCACCCAGGCTGGAGTGGAGTGGTACAATCAGCCTCTAAGTGCTGGGCTCAAGTAATCCTCTTGCCTCAACTTCCTGAGTAGCTGGGACTCCAGGTGCACACCACCATGCCCAGATAATTTTTTTATTTTTATTTTTTTAGAGATGGGGTCTTACTATGTTGCCCAGGCTGGTCTCCAACTCCGGGGCTCAAGCGAACCTCCTGCCTCAGCCTCCCAAAGTGCTAGGATTATAGGCCTGAGCCATCGTGCCTGGCCTTACCCACTACTTTTAACATTTATTGACAATTCTTGTCTGAATCACTTGTAATTACGAAGCCTGCTAAATGGTGACTTTCTAATTCCATTTCTTCTACATTTATTAGTTGGAATTTTATGTTAAGGAAGGGCTTTTTCTCTTTCTCCATTGGTTTGTTTATACCAGTATTTATTTATGTTTTCTTATTGTATTTAATAGATTAGAAACCACTACTACCATTTTCTCTTTTTTGAAGTTCAGATTGTCCCAGATTTGGCCAGTGAGAGCTCCTTCTAGCTGTCTCCTTTGTCCTTGTCCAGGCAGTGATTTTTTTTTTTTTTTTAAGAGATGGAGTCTTGCTATGTTGCCCAGGCTGAACTACAGTGGCTAGTCACAGATGTGATCATGGTGTGCTACAGCCTTGAACTCCTGGGCTCAAGTGATCCTCCCACTTTAGCTTCCTGAGTAGCCGGCACTACAGTGTGTGCCACTGTGCCCAGCCAGGGCTATTTTTGAGAGCAGATGCTCCAAATCTGTTGTCCAGATTAGTTTTCCAAATTATGAGATTTTAAATAGCATTTAGGAATCTTATTTTTAACATCATGACAAAATATACATTATAAACCCAATGAATTTTAGAGTTCCTATAGAATAACAAAATGTTTGTTTACATACATTTTATCGTCTTCCTAGATACCAGACTCATTTCGCAAGTCCAGGCATGGCTCCCTCTCACTTCTCCTGGTCCTGACGTGGGACCTGTCCATCTCGCAGTGGACTTTCCGAAGACATGGCAGGGGAGAGGGAAGAGTCAGAGACGTGGGGGAAGGCGAGAGGGAGGTGGGGAGGAAAGGGAAAAGGAAGAACTTGTCTCCTCTCCTCATTTGTTCAGACCGGTCTGGCACCTACAGCCTCCTCACGTCCCCCTGTCCCCTGCCCCGTCCAGAAAGCGAGCGCACGGCTGCTGTTGGCATTCACGTCATGTCAGCAGAACGCAGGGTACTTTGTGTGTGTGTGGGGGGGGGTTAGAAACAGTCACCTTCAGCTCAGAAAAGGGCTGGGAGATGATCTGGGTTGGATGGAAGGAACTCAGGTCCCCTCGCCACGGAAACACCACTGAGAGGATGTCGGAGAGAACACTCTGGGCTTGTGATGTCCCCACCACTCTCTGCACTGGGACCCGCTGCAGGCCGGAGGTGCTTCTGGCAGAATTGAGTGCTGGGGAAAGCCTGCGATAAATCTTCCCTGTCTTTACTAGCCAGGGGTTGCTATGGCAATAGGAATACACTGTAGGTTTTAAAAGATGTAATTTTCTGTGATTCACTGTATATTTTTAGCCATTTTTCTTCTTGTATTATCTCCCTGTGGCAATTGCCTATTAATGCTGGTCTGCACCAAGATTGAACTAAACGGTCCGTTCTCAGAAGTAATGAAAACCCTGGAGATCAGTAAATACAAGAGGGTTATGGCCCATGGACTTAAGAGTAACCTGGCAGAACAACCAGATTGGTTCAGGACATGGGTGAATTAGCATGGGTTGTGTCACATCTAAGGAAGAGAGTAAAGGAGAATGAAAGGCCCTAGAAATGTGGTGCTGGATTGCATGGAATAGGAAACTGAGTCATGGCACTCATGTGATCAGTATGCTCAAATGGCAGCCAGGGCAGGCCACACACATCAGAAGCAAGCAACCTGGGCAAGGGAAACCAGGACCTGGGTATCTGAACAGGGAACTGTAAAAGCACACTAACTTTTTCATTTAGCTCAAGTCTTGCTCTTGTTTGTCACCTTTTCCTCCTTTCTTTCTTCCTTCCTTGCTTTTATTTTACTTATTTTTTGCACCATAAAATTTTGGGAGGGACTGAGAGAAGGTGAACTCGGCTACTTGTTAATAGTTGTATCAGGAGTCCTTCCATTTCAGGCAACAAAAAACCCAACCTTAACTGCTTAAGCAGAAAGAACTTACCACCTCTAATAACTGAATGACTCACCAGGGGTGTGGGTTATTTCAGGCACAGATGTATTCGGGAGGCAAGATGACATCATCAACATCTGGGCTGTCTGTCACAACACTAAGTTCCATTGATGGTCTGGAGTTTGGGCTATAATAACATGAAACTCAGCTAACAGAGGTTTCAACAAAGTGCGGTTTGTTTTTTTTTCACACGAGAAGTCCAAAGAAAGGTTTATTTTTCTCCTATAACAAGTAGCCCAAAGTAGGCACTGATGGCATTACTATGTAGCATCTCAGTTGTCAAGAATCAGCCTTTCTTCATTTCTGCCCCACTGTCTCCAGGGTCACAGGAGGACTGCTCCAGCTTCAGGCATTCAAAGCAGAGAGAAGAGACCAGCTGTCTCTGATTCTTATATCCAGAAAAGCAGTTCATCACCCCCAAATCCCCAGCTGACCTCTGCTTCCAGTTGATTGGTACATCAGTGCCACATGGCCACCTTAGCCATTAGAAGGCTAGGAAAGTATGTTTTTAGGTTTTTCTGGTCCCTACAGTGGAAGCAGCAGTTTTTGTTTGTTTATTTTAGTTTGGTTTAGATTTTGCCTAGATAACAGTAAAGAATAGGCCATACCCAGGATTGTGAGATGGTTCTGCCATTTCATTGCAGGGTCTGATTGGATGCTTCATTATTGTCACGTCCTAGCCAAGAGGGGAGAAAGCAGAAGAGAGGGGCAAAAAATTCCCTTTTAAAGATGTGATGCAGAAGTTGCATTCATCACTTCTCTTCTGCTCACAACCTATTGGCCAGAATGTAGTCACATGATCACATCTAGCTGCAAGGGAGGCTGGGAAATGTAGTACTTGGGTAGTCATGTGCCCAGCTAAAACTTCAGAAGTTCTGTCACTATTATGAAGAAAGGGAGTAGTATCTGGGCACAATTAGCAATCTCTTCAAGAACAGTTACAGGAGAAAGGGTTTGAATGGGCGTTGAATTAGCCAGCCAAATATTTCTACTTCTGCCTCATCCTCAGAGAGGCTTACCTTTTTGGAGTTAAGATGGCTTCAGCATCAGCAGCCTTCCATTCTCCCTGCTCCAAGCTCATTAGTAAAAGGGCTGAACATCTTCATAGCTACCTCAGCCAGTCTCATTACAGCCCTTGGGTCACCTGCCCATAGTCAACTAAGGAGATGCAATGCTATGCTCTGATTGGTCATTTCTGAGTCACATGCTCCACCAAATCACCAAGACCTTTCTGGGCCTCATTTTGCTCATCTGTAAGATAGACATAATAACAGAACCTGCCTCACAGGGTTGGCGGGAGCATACTGCTCAGCATTGTCCCCGTACACATTTTCACTTGGCCTGCTGACCAGACTCACCTTAACAATATCATTTCAAAAGACAAGACCTCTAAAAATCAAAATAAACATTATTGGATAGACAGCCTATATTCCATCTCCTAACACACTCCAAAGTAAAAATCTATATTAAGTACTTGCTAGGTCCCTGTCACTGTGCTAAGCACTTCACATACCTTCTATCAAAATTCTCAGAGTAATTCCATGAAAGAGATGTTTTCATTGTTTCCATTTACAGGTAAGGAAACAGCTCCTAGTCTAAGATTACAGCCAGCACAGGAACGGAGCCACAAAGCCAGGACCAACCTGGAACCCCCACTCTCTGCTCCCTCTTACTGTGTAAAAAATAAGTCAAAGCACACACTTATGGAATCATGCAAATCTTCCTGCTGATTGTGGTGGTAATGAGAGATCGCTACTCAGATCCCCCTTTGCCAGAGAACCTGCTGCCAGGAGTAGCAGGCTGACAGCCTCCAGCTGTGGCTCCTTTGGCATCCCCCTCCCTGGGCACCGCAGGTGTACTGCAGCCAGGCCGGTTCTGCCCAGGGGTAACTCCACAGCTCTCAGGCTTCCCATCAGCCTGGCCAAGACTTTCTTGGAGCTATGCTGCAGTCTGAGGTTCTTCCTACCCAGCCCTCTTTCAAGCAAGGAAAATAATCCATTCAAAATTTTGGTGTTGGGAATATCTAATGTAGGCCAAAAAGTAGGCTCCTTTTCTAGGGAGAAAAGAGAGGCTCCTTGTCTAAGCAAGTTTCTGCATATAGGGGAAAACAGCAGTCATTTCTGATCTTAAAAGTGTAGACACCCAGCTGCATTGGGTGTGTTGGGGGAGAAGGTGGGAAGGGGCTGAAACTGGCCTGAAGTTAATCCACAGGGTGGCAGGTAGATTTCAGCCATTCTCATTCTTCATCCAGAAGCTTCCAACACTACTTAGATGAGGAATTGATTCATTACAGAAAGAGCAAAGACTGCTATTTAACTCAGCCAAAGGGAGAACATGATCAATTGGGCAAAACGTACTGGCTTTAGACAAGGATCTCCAAACTGAAGTGGGATTACTCTTGCTGGCCCTGGGAACACAAACCATGTGTTCCCAGGTACAAGTTCCCAGCCCCAAGTACTCCGCCCCACCCCACCCCACCTTAAGGCTTATCTAGAGATCACTAACTAGTACCACAGGGTAGATGTGTCCTACAAACATGTTTTATTTGGTCCCCATGATTGTTTCTATAAAACTATTGGTTGACAAGTTTTATCAATTGAGATATTTCACATAAAAAAATCTAGAGTTCTTGCTTCTCTTGAAAACTCAGAAAATCTGACAATACTTCTTAAATACAGCCTTTCTGCTTCAGGCAGAGCCAGAATCTCTACTGCTCTCCTGTTACACCTGCTGGCCCTGACGTCATTTGAGTTCATGACACCAGGCTGAAACTGTGCAGGACAATAAACCTACTAGATTTTGAGCACTCAGAATCAGATCATGAGGGCTAGATCACATTTGGCTGAAGTTAACTGTGGGCTCTTTAAGAAAAATGAGTTACTAAGCAAATTCATAGCATACACAGGATTTCAAGAGGGAATTTGTTTAAAAAGTAGTCTTCAAGCACTCAGGCAGGAATGACAGGCATTATTAGCACAGCTGGAAAGTTTGTCAGCACTAACAGATGGGGGACAGGTGGTGGCCAGAGACAGAGACCCTGGGTTGGAAGAGGTGGAAATTCTGACCTGGCTTTGCCCTTACTAGATGTATGACCTTGAACATTTCTTTCACTTTCAGATCAGGTACCTGGTGTTGCAACAATACTAAGTAAGAGCTAATATCTACTTCCTGCATATTACAAGCAAAACAATGTATTAAGTGCTTTGTATGTGTCCTCTCTTTTCATTTCACACCAAGCCCTGAGGTCAAAGACTAGTATTAATAACATCCCCAATGCACAGGCAGGTTTTGTGACCTGTCCAAAGCCAGAGAGTCAGTAAGGGATGGAACCAGGATTTGAAACCCAGACACTCTGAATCTGGAGCTGACACGTGTACCTCCTACACTGTGATGCGTACACCTGCACAGAGTTGTCGAAAGAACCAAGCAAGACCACAGAGGCCAAGTGCTCTTTGTAAACTGTAAGTGCTACAGGAATGTTTCCTATCATCATTTGAGTGCTGCAATTTTTTTAATTGATGCTTTACCTAAAAATCACCAATTCAGTTTGGCCCCTTCCTAATTCATTCAAATAATTCTTTTTGTTATTGTTAAGTCTCTTAATTTTGTTTTTGGTTGTTTTTTATTATTATTATTTCAAAATACTAAGGGGGTACAAATGTTTTTGTTATATGGATACATTGTATAATGCTGAAGTCAGGGCTTTCAGTGTGCCTATCACCAGAATAGTGTGAATTGTACCCAGTAGGTAAGTTTTTATTTCTCTTAAAGAGAGACTTTTTATTTCTCGTGAAGAGAGTTCCAGACTCTGGAACTGACACTTCATTAGTCCTGTAGTGCCCTCTGGTGACAGCAGTCAGGAAAATGATAAAATTCTAATAGGTGATATTGGATCCCTCAGCCCCTTTGAACAACAATTTCCAGAGCATTTGCTTTGTCCTGGGCATTTTTCTAGCTGCTACATGGTCTAGAGAGACTAGGAATAGAGGACACAGGAGACCCCATTACATCCAGGCCTGTCCTCTGTGATTTAGGTACAGAGAAGGAAAACAGAAAGCCACAGGCAAGAGTGACTTATATTTCATCTCATAATACATTCCAGAGCAAAAATATTTATTCAGCACTTGCTAGGCGATTCCTATCATGATATAGGAGGCTAAAGCCAGATATTGTTGTCACCATCCCCCCAAAAAGTCACAGTGAACCCCAAACCATGAGATAAATGGAACTGCTCACCCGTGGTATGTGGGTAAATGACTAACAACCAGCTGTCTGGCAGGAGGAAGCCCTGGTTTGTAGTGTTTGCCAATTTCCATGGTGTAAACACTCCCATTATGATGACCAGTTTCAAGGTACCAACATGATTCACATGATTCTTGAAGATTTAACAACTGGCCTCTCATAAGCTGTAAAAACTGGCTCCAACACATCACTTCTTTTAACTCTAGAAATAATACACCTTCTCATATTCCTTCCCAATCAGCTGGATTCTGGAATTCTTCCAGTTGATTCACATCCATGAGCAGGGACAGCTCAGCCTCACCTCAGCAAGGCCAAACCCAGAGAATGGGGAGTGCTGGCTGGGTCTGCCCCTAAACATCCTCAGGTGGCTCTGGTCAAAGGTCTTTACCTTCTCCCTCTTTCTAGTCTTTTTCATACCTAAGCAACTAAAGATAGAGGGACCGTCCAGTGCATCATGACATACCTCTGAAAGAGAACCTCCCTCTGACATCCACTGCCCTGCCTTCATCCCCCAGTTCCCTCACCTAACCCCACACATTAGTTCATAGGCCTGCCTCAGTCTGTTAGCCCCCACCAGCAGGAGGCAGCTCCTGGTTCCTGGGGAGCCCCCAGATCTTTTGATGTGAGCAGGCTGGCCAACTCCTGACCATGTGCCTCTCACTTCGTCCAACTCACAAGGAAGACGGCCCTACCTTGGCCCCAGGAAAGAAGAGGAATGCATGAGTCCATGCAGGGCCTGGAGGAGCTGTTCCCAATTGTCCTCAACTGGAGAGAGGAGTCAGATGAGCAAAACCAAGCTGCCAGGACCCAAGAGGACCAGCTCCTGAGGGCATGCTTTCTACTCGGCCTGCAGGTCATTCTGGGCCCACCAAATGAAACCAGATGCATCATGGCCCCCCCTATCTAAACAGCAGCTGCCAGACCCCCACCTCCCCGAGGTCGGTGGTTCCCTTGCTTGCTATCACCCCCGCCCATCTGCCCGCTGATTTCCTTCCACGCCCTTCATCTGCCCATCCTGGGATTTCAGTGATCCTCACGGAAGATGAGATCCACAGCAAGAAGACTGAGTTCCACTTCCAGTCGGGCTACTTGCACTAGCATGTCCTTGAGAAATTTTCTAAAGCTCCTAGGGTTTGTTTTCTGATGCGTAAATCAAAATCATCATCAGAGAGCGCTGTTGAGAGGATTAAATTAGAATGTATTGAAAAGAACTTTATATATTAGAGTGTTATATAAATGTTTGCTCTTTCTACGAGAGAGGTCTCCACAATTGTTTTTTTTTTTTCCTTCTTATAAAAGGAATATGTGTTCTTTGTGGAAATTTTGAAAAATACATTTGAGCATTAAAAAAAAATAAATAAAAATCACCCAGAGTTAAATATCCACATCTGGTATATCTACCCCAGGTATTTTTTCCTATGTGTATATAAATATCTCTTTGTTAAAAGAAAGAATGAGGGCCAGGTGCAGTGGCTCACGCCTGTAATCCTAGCACTCTGGGAGGCCAAGGTGGGAAGATCACTTGAGGTCAAGAGTTCGAGACCAGCCTGAGCAAGAGCGAGACCCCCGTCTCTACCAAAAACAGAAAAACAAAATTAGCTGGGCGTGGTGATATGTACCTGTAGTCCCAGCTACTCCGGAAGCTTAAGCCCAGGAATTTGAGGTTGCAGTGAGCTATGATGACACCACTGCACTCTACTTAGGGCAACAGACGAGACTGTGTCAAAAAAAAAAAAGAAGTGAAAGAATGAGGATACTTATGACTCAAGGGTGGTGATCTCTCCCTTCACTAAGGGACGATGATTCCCTCCAGACAACCTGCAGACCTAACAACAGCGTGTCTCTCGTCCCTGCAGTCAGCGAGACGGTGGGGTTGGCCTCCCATTCAGAAACAGTTGAAAACAAGCCTTAGAGTATCCTCCTAGATCCCCAAATAAGAAGACCTTGGAAATATAACCTGTTCTTCCCGATAGAGGCCTTCGCACTTTTTGCTCTGCAAGCCATTTTGGAAAGACAATTTTCCCTTGTGGATCACTTTGTCTGCTTTTCCTAATTTATAAAATAACTTTTTAAATTAAAATTGGGATGTTTTCCACTTAGTAAAGCATATATCATTGCAGCTGCTGTTGTTAAAAGGCTCATTCTTAGGCTCTTTCGAATGTGGAACTGAATTTGCTGTGTGAAAACCTCACATGTTTCTGTGGCTAGTCCGTGAATCACCAGAGGTACCCATGTAGAACATACATGCAAATGTGTTCTGCTGGCTTCTTTAAGTATCTGACAAAATGTCATCTTTCCATCAATGCTACCAGATTATCTCTTGCTTCTGCCCTAAAACAGGTGTTTTATTTTGGCTGTGAGAAAGTGCCTGTATCTCTTCTCCTCTACCACATCTGGCTCCTCCTGCCCGAGTCCACCTGAACCCTGGCTTCTGCGATATCCCAGTCCGACCTGGGGAAGGGGTCAAACTCCAGGGCTCTGAACCCTTAGGAGGGAGCCACCAGACACTCACGTGACTTAAAGTATACTACATGGTTAGGAGAATGTGTCCTAACAAGGAAGTCGCAAATGCCCCTTGAGTGGCTGCATTTACTAGAAGAGTTTGTGGCTAAGTCTTGCCAGTCCAGACGTTTCAGGCTAGCCCACGGCAACAGGGAGGGCAGGCGCTCTTCCCTTAAATGCCTGGTATGAGCCCGGCAGCTTCCTGCCACTGCTGTTTGACCCTGCTTCTCTTCAGACACACATAGGTGCAAGGAGCAAAGGAGGACACCAACTCCATCAGCCTCTGTGCTGCACAAGACATTCCAGTGACTTCTGCCTCCAAAGAGAATGTCTGCCCCATGTAGAGGACAGGACCCGTCATATTTCTCCAGAGTCTCGGACTGGGTATGAGAGGTCATCTAGTGGACATGGTAGAAACCTGAGCTTTGGACTTAGGCTGCCCTGGGCTTGAATCCTGGCTCTGTCATTCCCAGGAAGTTTGGTCTCAGGCAAGTGGCTGAGCCTGAGGAAGGGGCTATGAGTATACCAAGAGGTCGTATGTACTAGAAGGCTTTGCAGGTGCCTGGGCAGAGTAAGTGCCCGAGGAGGGGGGGGGTGTTGAGGAGGGGTTAGGGGCCACTCAACGTGGTTCTCAAGCACAGCTGCAGTGGTACGATGACCCAGCTGGCTCAGCAAGAGTGGACCTAACTGCTCTCCCATGCGAGTGCTTTCTTTTCCTCTAGAGCAGGTTTTATGACATATAGCTTTCTTATTATATTTATTTTGCTTATTTTCTGATCTCTCCCATTAAAACATCAATTCCACGAAAACAGTCATTGGGCTGGGCACAGTGGCTCACACCTGTATTCCCAGCACTTTGGGAGGCCGAGGCGGGAGGATCGCTTGAGGCCAGGAGTTTGAGACCCACGGGACAACATCATGAGGCCACTGTCTCTACAAAAAGCATAGAAAGTGAAGTAGCCAGACAGAGTGGCTCTTGCCTGTAGTCCTAGCTACTGGACGTGGGAGGATAGCTTGAGCCCAGAGATTTGAGACCAGCCTGGGCAACATAGTGAGACTCTGTTTCTATAAAAAGTAAAAATAATTAAAAAGAAAACAAAAAAAACAGGCATATTTATCTGTCTGTATTGCTCATTGCCGTGTTCCCAGATCCTGGAAAACAACGAGAGAAAGAGAGAGAGAGAGAGACTTAACTTTCCATGAAGAAAAAAAAGCACTTCTCCCAAATTCTCTAGAAATGTGACTCAGACAATGTTGCCCTGCCAGTCTTAGAGTCCTTCCTAACCCCTAGGTAACCAGACTCCCGGCCCCTCCCCGTAGCCCTGGGAGCAGCTGGAGCTGTGAGGTCAGTAGGATCCCCGTGGGAAGCAGCGCCACACTGACCCTGGGTCCACG